CCCACAACCCCAAATTATACTATGAATGTAAATACAATAAGCTCAAAAGGTTGTGTGTGAACAAAGAGATATAAATCAAAACTAAACTCAATGTAGTTCTAGCTTAATAACAATGATAATCAAATATATAAAAGAGCTAGAAATAGAGTTTAGAAAACTTCTCAATATATCAAGAGTGGAGGGAGAAGAGTTGGATGCCCAAACACCAATAGATGATCTCCTCAAGCTCTTGTGAAATTGATTTCTCAAAAACAAACTCTCAAATGCTTAAAAGCTTTTTAAACAAACTTAAACCAAACATAAACCCTTGTTAAAACTTTCTTAAACTTGTTTTAAAACTCTCTTAGTTAGTTGGAGAGCTGAAGGCAATGGGGTATTTATACCCTCTCAAAACTCAGCCAAAAACCCAAACAAAAAGACAAAAACAGCCCAAAGCAACGGTAATAAAAAGAGCCGTTGGAAGCAGAAAAAGTTACTGTCGGTCGACCGGAAATTTCATCGGTCGACCGGAAAATTTCATCGGTCGACCGGACCGGTCGACCGACAGACTCTCTGTCGCCCAGTGAGCACGAGAACTCAGGTTCGGTCGATCGGTTCGGTCGACCGAAAACTGACATATATAAAAACAGGTTTTTAAAGCTATTTTTGAGACTTTTGTAAAATTGTTAAAAATAACAAATGAAGTCCAAAAATAACGAAACTTTGGGAAATGTATATAAACATGAAAAAAAACATGTTACAAAAAGAATTTTTCAAATTGCATTTCCCATTTGTGAAAAAATCATCATTTTGCAAAATAGTCCAAAACACGAAAATGTAAACATGTGAGTTTTGATATTTTGACTAAGCCATGTTTTGAAACTTTGCACAGTGATTATATAGACTTAATAAAATATGTATATGAATATGGTTAAGTCTAAAAACTAAGAATATGATATTTTCACAAATACATTAGAGAATGAAACAAAGGAGTATGTATATGAAAATATATTTGTTTCATATCTAAGTAGATAAACCAAATCACAATAATAAATATGAAGTATGTAATCTCATATTTATAATCATAAAAACCAAAACTTATGTTGTATATATATGTGATTACATATATATACAAAGAAACCAATAAATGTGTGTGTATATGATAATTAAGCTTAAGGTACCAACACACATAATATAAACTCCTAAACTAAATTACCCAAGCTTGATCTTGATCTTCATTGAGCTCAACTTGGTACACGTGCGGATGAAGCTTGAACTTGATCTTTAACTATGAATAGCAAGGCTTCAACCCGATATTCCGCCAACCTCCATTGGATATCATCGTTGAAGCTCTATTCCATCCATCCTCCAACAACGTTGTTTGTCTACAATACATAGAAAAACACAAATACTAGACAAACAACATTAGTAGTAAATTGTTTGTAAATCATCATCAAAACAAGAAGGCCAACAAGTTCTATTCTGTAGAGTGTTAGTTCTAATCTGCACAGTGTTAGTTCTATTCTGTAGAGTGTTAGTTCTAATCTGCACAGTGTTAGTTCTATTATGTAGAGTGTTAGTTCTAATCTGCACAGTGTTAGTTCTATTCTGTAGCGTGTGATGGCTTGTTAGTACAGTGTTAGTTCTATTCTGTAGAGTGTTAGTTCTAATCTGCACAGTGTTAGTTCTATTCTGTAGAGTGTTAGTTCTAATCTGCACAGTGTTAGTTCTATTCTGTAGAGTGTTAGTTCTAATCTGCACAGTGTTAGTTCTATTCTGTAGAGTGTTAGTTCTAATCTGCACAGTGTTAGTTCTATTCTGCACAGTGTTAGTTCAAGTCTGTAGCGTGTGATGGCTTGTTAGTTCTATTTTATTACACGTTATATCTAATTTATACCACGTTATATCTAATTTATGTTAGTTCTAATTTAAACCACGTTATAAACCTAATTTATACCATGTTATATCTCATTTATACCAAGTTAGTTCTATTTTATAACAAGTTAGTTCTATCTATTTTATACCATGTTAGTTCTAATTTATACCAAGTTAGTTCTAATTTATATCAAGTTAGTTCTATTTTATACCATGTTAGTTCTAATTTATACCAAGTTAGTTCTAATTTATATCAAGTTAGTTCTATTTTATAACAAGTTAGTTCTAAAATTTTAACCAAGTTTGTTCTAATTTATACCAAGTTAATTCTAATTTATACCAAGTTAGTTCTAATTTTAACCACGTTAGTTCTAATTTATACCACGTTAGTTCTATTTTATGCCACGTTAGTTCTATTTTATATCAAGTTAGTTCTAATTTTAACCATGTTAGTTCTAATTTATACCATGTTAGTTCTATTTTATATCACGCTAGTTCTAAATTACACCATGTTAGTTCTATTTTATACTAAGTTAGTTCTATTTTATACCATCTCTATGACTAAAAGCTGGTCATGTAGAGAATTTAAAACAAGCATTTAGTAGGTATCTTTATTATGACGGACCAGCTTATGCCACGTAAGAACACAACATTCGCTTTCATTATATTTTGTGGAGAAGTAATCTTATACAAAATACAAAATACGTAAGAATTGATTTAGAACTAACATGAACTAGTTCAAACAGCTTGTTCTCTAGGAAATGCATGGCTCAGGGACAACAAATGACAAGGCCCCCTATAACACATGAGGTTTATGTGCAATTAACCAAGCATTATACAGATTCTTGAAGGGGTTCAACCCCTAAACACTAGTAAATACAATGGCTAATAACATAGAACAAAATGGATCACCTCTCCCTCATCTTCTTCCACTTCGTCCAAACAACTCCCCAATCATACCCTCCACGTCCTTCACCTTGTACTTCAACCTCACATTCCCTACTTTACAATAACAACCAAAAGAAGAGCTTAAGAAACAAGAAAACCAGAAATCTCAAAAACATAAAATTTTCAAGAACCCACTCATATCAGATCACCAGAAGAGGAAGACGAAGAATCCTCCTCCAAGAAACCATCATTCGACCACTGCTCAGAGATCTCGACGGCTTCCTTCTCTTCTCATGGTTTCGTCCATCCGTACGAGAGCTAGTCCCCTTCTTTCAGAATCTCCTCGGCCAAACCCAGCCTCCCGCCTGAAATCAGCTCCTCCCTCGTCAAAAACGCACTCGGGTTCTCAGATTTCTCCATGAAATCGTAGATATCAAGCTCCAATCTACTGACGCCAGCATCCTTACGTTTCTTAGCGGAAATCGTCGTGGAAGAGGACAAGCGGAGACAGGGGAAGGGTTTCGACGGCGGCAGAGCAGGAAAGAACGAAGAGAAGAGGCTAGCGGAGCTCCGGCGTTAGCTCTACCTCCAGCACATCCGTTGTTGCCTTTTTCTGGTTTTGTTTTCACCACATACCAGAGCTAACATTTTATCAGTCGTGGGCCCGGAGGGACTTGGGGGGCGGCGCCGGGGGCCTGGGCAAAGGTGATGACGGCGAGGAGGGCGAGGGCCCCTTTTATTTTAGAGAGAGGGAGAGAGGAGAGAGAGGGAGAGGGAGAGAGAGAGAAAGATGACGTGACTTTCTATGCTTTTGGGCTATGTCTCGGGAAGAAGGAGAAGGGCAATTTGGGTTTTTTTAAAAAATACAATCTCTATTTTGTATACTGTTAACGTGTTGGGGCCTTGACACATTTAACATTACTTTTTGGGGCTTATCCACATGGGGGAAAATACAAAGGGGTTGGTCACATGAAGTTTCTGCTTTTGGGGGCTGAACACATTTTTCCCTAATAAAAAATAGTAAAGTATTATATAATAAATTATATTATAATATAATTAATATATTATTATTTCAAATATATAAACACTATATTATAATACAATATTTTATATCATAAAAATACTACAATAATATTTTTATTCTAACTAATAAAATATATATTACATAATATCAAGTAATATTATAAAAATATAGTATTAATATTATAATATATGAAATGTTATTAACTAATATGTAATATTGATATATAATAACGTTATATTAGATAATATTATTTGATATTTTATTATCTTACGTTATAATAGAATTTTATAATATAATATAATTAAGATATATTATATATTATAATACAATTAGCATATATTAGATATTTAATAAATTAGTACTTCAAATTTATCTCACTTTTCTCATGATTGACCCAAAGTTAAGAATGCGTTAATTTTTGAAAGTTGGGACAAAAAGTTTGTATGGAAGTTGGATAATTTTGAGAAAAGTGGGTCTAATTGTGCCAATTTTATTGTCCCAATGAATAACACTTTAAAACGAAATCCCAATCACATTATCCCAATGAATAACACCATAAAACAAACTCCCAAAAACTATCCCACTTGCACCAAAATTACACCAACCAATGACCCCCTAACGTCTGCCTATAGACTTTCTCATGGAATGAACGTGGAATTAGAACGAGCCGAATCACATGGAATGAAATCTTATCTTGTGTAGTTAAATGCTTCAAAAACTTATCCCATATGTTATAAAAGAATCGAGAAGCTAATCATTCCAATAATAGCTCTATTATATACCTGGATTTCAGGTTGATTTGGATCTTAAAAACTAACGTAAAGCAAGATATCAGGAATAATTCATATCATATGGTAATCATTGTGGGATATGAATATTTCAATCTTGCAATAAGAAACTAAGTCATTTTCTCCTTTTACCTTTTATGTAGTTTATTTTACCAAAGAATGATAAAAAAATTCAATTTAGAAACATTTCGGGAAAAAGTTACAGATTGCATCTAATAATTTGCTGAACTTTGAAAAGTGATTGATTTAGAAAATAAAGATTAATTGATAGATTTTTTTTAAAAAATTCTTTCTGAGGATATTTAATAGGTAGATATTGGAAGGATATTAATTGATTTCGATCAAGCTTATGATTCCTCATGATGACCCTTCAACCCCTCGCAGAACATAAAATTAGAACTCACAGTTTGAACGCTCAAAGCAATTCATAATTGAATGTTATTGAACACAAATTATTAAAATGGATTTAAAATAAATCAGCTTATAGTGGATTTAAGCTGAATGTTATTGAACACAAAGGTCCCTCCACCTGCAGGGGATGTCAGAATACATTACTACTTGGAACCTCAATGGAAGAGCTGATAGTTTTAGCTGGATATTTTCTCCTTCAAATTTTGTTCCATACTACGAAATATGAGCACCCGCTTTCTCACAACCCAGAATCTAATTTCCTTTTTACCCAAAAGCAATGGCTGATCATCCAAGACTGTTGGAGATGCTGAATCACTCAGCTTCTCAGAAAATACAGTGCTTGGGTATATTGAAACTGAGTTCCACTGGCATGCATACAATGTGTTCGCTCATTTGTCTGAGAGAGCCAGACCTCAGCAGTTCTGATCCTAACAGCAGAAGTTTGATCGCCACGGTGAGCAAACTAACTTACCAAATTGATTTTATTCTCCATTATTCTACATACATATTTTGCTTCACATTCATAATAAATATATGGGTACAAGATAAAAAAGTATTAAAAAAATTTCAAACTTCGCGTATATCTCGAAGTCGTGTCAAAATAGCAATACCTATCAACCT